ATTTTAAGTTAAAAAAAGTGAATTAAACCTTTTCATGCATAAATAAGGTAACAGATATACAGATTGAATTCTAGGTGCTAGATATGTAATACATAAAAATTGAGTGCAGTAAATGTAAATCTTCCTAAAAAATATCAGAAAGAAGTTAAATCAGAACTATTTCTCTGAATAAAATATTTCATATATCTGACTTACTCCCATCTCGCTTGACATAGCGTTGCAATGCAAGCTGATAATCATTTGCATGACATCCATTTCCAGAGAAAAAATAACTGAGCGAGGAGAATAGTCCTGGGTGGCAGAAATTGTTGACTCTTGTAACACAGCAATCGGCAGGAGACCAAAACCATCTAGAAATAAGCCTTACCTTCAAGGGTTATTAATGAAATGCCAGTTAAATGTGTTTCACCGGGAACTGCCTCGGCTCCTGCTTTGATGGCCTTGAATATAGAAATTTGTAATAGATCAGAATATTGTATAAAAGATAATGCAAAAGCATAAGAATGCTGAAAAAGCACCTTTGTGGCACATTCTTGAAGAACAGGAAAGTATTGTTGAGAAATTCCAATTTGTTGAAGCTGTTGCTTGGCCTTGTCGCCAGTCCAACTAAAGGAATTGCATCGCATGCACCAAAATGTAGACATGATGAACACAAGAAATGAGGTTTTTCAATCATCTATATTAAATTGGATTTCTAAATTAATTTTATAAAAAAAATGTTCTTCAAATAAGAATTATTTGGGATTGGATATAATTAAATTTGAATTCAAATAAAGTTGAATTCATACTAAAAATCATGTTTCCATGGAAAGAATATTGATGAAATGCATTTTATATATTCTTGAAGCCATACATGCATGCATACATACATTCATACATACAAACATATATATATATATAAGAAATACTAAATGTTGGAGTATGTCAAGAAAGAAGTAAATTTTGCCTGATATATCAATGCTAAAAGCTATGTCCCATGCATAAATGGTAATTTTTCCAACTACAAATTTTGATGAGCCCTGAATTAAGATTATATTAAAAGGCAATACTCCGGTTCAGGACCAAAGAAAAAATTAATACCAGTTTTAAAAACCTATAGTG